TATTCATTCCAGTGTTGGACAGCTTTTATTCCTTTAATTGCGTGTATGTATGTACTTTTTAAGTGTACTTTTTAATCTATGATGTGTATTGGAACACGCAATTCAGCCTATATGTATTTTGAAATACATTTGGTACATACATACAGCCTATATGTAATAAACCTTTCATTCATTCATTCATTCATACACAGCCCGCCGAGCAGCCACCCACCTCCCTGCACCAGTAACACCGCGGAGGACCCAGGGCGGGCTTTCTAGCATGTTGGCAAAACGTACTGCGCCTGCATGAAAGCCAGACTTTTCAAGGTTCATCTGTATAGCTGGTATAACTGCCCTTTGGCGTAACACACCAGCTTTGCAGGCACGCAACGACATGTTACACCGAACCTTTGAACTCTAAGCATTGTTTAAAGCTATCTAGGTTCTTGTTGGATGTTTGGTCCACGTTGCATCAGAATTTTCCCGTTGCAGACGATATCTTTTCAACACCGCATTTGAAAACTATAGATGGGATGTTAGTCCTTAAACGAACACAAACACGACCTTGAACAAGGCTTACTGCCAAAGTGCTCTGCACAAATACAAAATGGGTTTCGCGCAGGCGCAGTACGTTCAGCCGACGTGCTGGGCTTTCTACTTATTAACAACCGACGATACCTACTAACAGGAGTCACCACCTTCACAAGAAAACCCTGCAGTTCCAACACGAACAGACAGGGGTCCTTCCAAACGTGCCCGGTGGATAGTGGACCACAGAGTTGGGAAGAGAGAGAGTGAGAGATCACCAGATGTAAATAAACCACTTTGGATGCCCGGTGATCGACGTACAGTAAATGTTAATATCGTTGCAGCTAAACACGACAAAATAAAACCTTACTCCGAGTAACAGAGATCACAGTAATGTCATAATCGCGGAGTAAGCTAGCCAGGAAGGGGACTTTTCCCGGTCGAATATCCCAAAATGTGTACGTAAAGAGGTGAGTCCTATCAGCAGGAATGTGGAATAGCGAGGCAAGTATTATGTAAGGTCTGGCATTAGCTCTTTAATTCTTAGGCCACACCAATTTGATTTGTTGGTTCTCGGATTTTTTGAAAATATGGTTAACTAGAAAATCGAAAGTCTGAGGACCTGGTTGATGCCTTGGTGGACTCAGTGTATGTAGTAAAAACAGCCAATTCTAGTTTTCTTCCTCGCCCTCTCTTTTTATGATGTCCACTTGTTATCTTTTGAACTAAAAGTGTCTGGGAACCAACAAAATGAATGGGTGTGGCCTTAGATTGAAAAGTTGTTGGACAGTCGAAGCGGCTTGCTGCCGGAAGTTAGTGGCGTATTGCTGACATTGTACAGTCAGGTGGGCAGATCCACTCTTATTCATACAGAGAATGTTTATCTTTTGTTTCTGTGTACATGTCTTTTTGCCATCAGAGGTAAAATAAAATGAACATTTTGAGAGAACTGTTTCCCGCGTCATTTCTGTGTTTTCATTTTTTAGTCCACTCACATTGGGGGTGTAGCCCTAGCGTCCGTAGCAGGCTTATAGAACTGGGGGTTTGGTGGTCTTTGGCTGTTTTCTGATTAGCCCTGTTCTAAAAACGGGGGTAATTCAACCAGGCTGGCTATGTTGTCTATATGCAATCAGAAAATAGCACATTAAAGATCCCAAAGACCCTGAAGACCCCCAAACCCCCAGTTTTTGCCATGCTATGGAGGCTAGTGTAGCCCGTCCCTCTCCTTCCACTGCCTTTTACATCCCAATGAAAGTCAGGTGCCCATTTTACACCTGGATGGAGTGAGGAAAGTCATGTTAAGTGCCTTTCCCAATGGCACAACAAAGTTGCACATGATTTGTTGATAAAAGATTAAAACCATCAGTGACACAACTTGAACACCATCTTCCGACCTGTATTCTAGGACTTTCCTGGGTTTTTGATTGATGCTACTAAATCTACTGAGAGAGTTGTGATTTCCTAGTTCTTCCTTGTTCATCGTAATACAGTAAATACAAAAAAGATGCCTGAACTGTTGGAGATGAGCAAACTATAGAATAATTTTATTGTACAACAGGCACATGCAGAAGTTCCCAACTTGTTTTAGACACAAACGTATGTAAAGCTAGTAAAGCTACATGTATCTGTCCTTGCAAAGATGTAGAATGCAGAGATTAATGTTTAGATAATGTGTTCCCATACCTTGTTATTCCATTGTCTAAAATTGCACATTGAGAAGTTCAATGTTGTCATACTAAGCATGTTGGCAGAACGTACTGCGCCTGTGCTGGTCAACCATGCATCAAAATTTTTCCCATTGCAGACGATATCTTTTCCGACAACATTTGGAAAGTAACATCGGCATGTCAACCTTATATACTTTAATACGACCTTATATGAGACATTCTGCCAAAGTGTTATTAACAATACACTACAGGTGCAGTACGTTCTGCCGACAGCTGTCACACTACAATCTTTAAGTTGTTAAATCCCACATATCTTATTTCCAGTGGAATTGAGAAGTCTGTCACTCATTTCTCCTTGGTTCAGATTGAAAATACAAAACTGTTAACCTTCAGTATTCTACAGTTGCATCAGTGAGCCATGCCAGAGCCTATGTATGGGGAGGCTGGAATGCTAAGGGTTAAAATTGACATAACAAAGGCTATACATTTTTAAGACATTCAGAACATACGAAACATATATGTATATGACTTTGTATAAATGCTGTATTGTAGTGTAAACTAGAACTGAGTTTGAAGTTGCACAGTGACAGTTTTTAGGCTTATTATTACAGTTGTACATTCTTCTACCCGTGTTCCAGTTTTTACTGTAGTACAATATTTGAAGGTTGCAGCAGCCCTTAAGACATGACAAGTACATGTATGTGTACACAAAAACTAATGGCAACCTATCTACAATGTATTAGTCACCATAAATTAGGCCACACTGACTTAATTTTATGGATGACATCCGCGCGCGCATTGATTTTCGCCTGTTCTCAAAAAAAAGATCACGTCCTCTGAGGCCCTGGCCTGGCTCTAGGCCTGGGTAGTCCATGGTAGTTAGCAACAATATGGAGGTGGTAACTCAGGAGGACGGCACCCAGGCTACCAAAGTTCCACGAGTCAGGAACTCAGTACATACCTACAGTGCCGATTCATAAATTCTGCAAAAAGCCAGCATGTGGCGACGTATACGTCGCTGTACATTGTATGTACTGCCACAAAGTCACAATACCAGCTTTGTATTCCTGTGGTTTAGTAGCATTTTTATTTTTGGCCGCAATTTTTTTTATTCGCCCGCACGCACTAGTTTGGGGGTCTTCAGAGGTGTCATCCATAAAATTAAGTCGGTGTAGTCTTAGTGTTGTACACAGATACACAGTCTAAAATACCTTCAGCTTTTAAGCCTTGATGACAACAGCTAGTACACTTCTTACATGTTTTGAGATGTGGAATGTATTTGTTCAGAACTACATGTAATTAATAGCAAAATGTTTCTGACAGAAACCATATCAAATCTACATAATACATAAAAATCACCTCACCTAGAGCAAATGTATTACATCTTAAGAGCATTACAAATAAGATGAAAGAAAAGTGGTATTTCAGTATACACAGTGCTACACTGAAATGGGTACATTATCTACATGTATTTATCACTATAATTATTGTACCTGTCCAATACTATTATAGACTATGATTTTACAACACCTACACCCAGCTATAAGAAATATGTACATCAATATCTGGGGTTATTTCATACATGCTGTTTGAAATATCTTGCTTACATATAATTAAGTAATCTACACCATAGGCATAGAGAAGACTTTAATATTAAGAAGCATTTGCACCAATATTTTCTTCACCCGACTATATACAAAGCTCGTATCATACACGTAACTCTTATCCATCCTTTTGCACTGTGTATACATTTTTGCATACTGCTCATTATGGGTTCACCACACCACGAAGTGGTGTGGTGAAACCATATTGCTTTTTCTGATGTTTCTTCTCCTTCTCCTCCTCCTTCTCCTCCTCCTGCCATATCTTTAAATGGATTCAGCTTCTTCATTTTAGGGCCTAAGGTCCTGAAATTTGGTATGGAGGTACAGTGGGCAAATACCCCTAGGCGTTTTTTAAATTATTGTGATACAGGCTTTTAGAATGGTTTTATTTGAGTTTTTTGGCTGTGTAATAGCTAATGTATTACTGTGTAAGTGTGCAGTGTTTACCACATTTGGACATGAGTCATCACAATGGCATGCAAGGCATCAACCAATAGGCATGCAGCTTTCCTCTATTCTCCTTGCTGATTGGCTGTTGGGATTTAACTGGCTTAACTTCATTTACACCTGCACAGAGCCATGCCATACTGACAGTATGTCTGTATTCAAGTGTTTTGGTAGGTATTTTAAGCTTTCCTGCTCCAGCATTGGAATGCGGGCTATGAACGCTTCTTTTTATCTTGAAAATCAACAGTTTGCATTATGCAATCCTAACCAATAATGTAGGGAATAGCTATCCAACTGTTGTAGTCTTAGTTGTATGTTACTTCATACTATAGTTATATCAATGTAAAGCATTGTTTTCCCTTGTGTTTCTCATTCTTTCCCTGCCATGTGGTAAAATGTGGTGAACCCATCGCTATATTTGCTCCAAAGCAAATATTGGCCTTTCTAGTTTAATATTTATCATTACTGCATTATGCAAATTTGTTGAAAAGCTGCCCTACCATACTGATGTCTACAGCACACCTGTACACCTTGTTTTTTTTATAACACAAAGTACAGTATTTTGTAAGCACACCTTGTAGTATGAAATGCAGCGATTTTGCATAATATAGCAGCACTCTTTGGTTTATAATTAGGTTATATCATACTTCCTAGCCTGCAAGTGTGCAATATACAATAAGTCCTTGCAGTTTTTTTATATAAACCATCAACATCATAGGTATTATTTCTGAGTGGGGCACTAGGTTTTCCATAGCCTGGTTACTAAACCTATTATAGCTCCCAAGTCCTACATCCTCTCTGCAAATCTACTAGACTAAGTATTTGCAGAGAGGCTGTAGGACTCGGGAGCTATAATAGGTTTAGTAACCAGGCTAGGTTTTCCATCTATGTACTACTCTATTATTTTTTATCCCACCGGACCACACTATTTTTTCCGCACACCCTTAAATGTATATTAGAAGCAAATCATTTTCTGTACAATGTGTTGCACAGGGCAGAATAACAGTTATGCAGAGCAAATGCAACCATTTTCCTGGTTTTAAAGAGCTTCATCAAAGACTCACGCATAGTTTACCAGCAATTTTCCTCATACTTAAAAAGAAATTGGCAAAAATATCTCTACACAGTTGCTTCAGTGATCTGCAATGTACAAGAATAATCATAATATACACAGTGCACTCTTCTCATTTTTGTTCATTGGGAGTTTACATTGCATTTTGCACATCATGATTACATGTAAATCAGTGGAATGCTAGATGTTTTTAGATTATATTGTTCTACGTAATACAAGCATAGTCACCTTGTTTGGTCCGACACATTGCACAGTTGCCATAGTCTCTGTCCCAGTTCCCTAGCATATAGTTCCCTATTTTACCTGTATATTAGTGTCTACCTGTATAGTACACTATGGATGACTGTTTCCTATAAAATGGGTAATCTATAGCTACTCTAGGGCTCGAAAGACCATCTGCACATGCAGGTTAGTGCAGGTAAAATTGGCAACCACTCAGAATTTTGAGAGTATGGATCAAATAACTACAAAGAAGCTAATTCTTTTATACTTTATAGGCGGTATGGTCAATGTAGCAAATAAAAATCCACATACACATAAACCCAGTAAATGGACCAATGCAGGTTAGGGGCAGGTAGACATCAGAAATACCTGCACAGCTCCAATTTTACCTGCACTAACCTGCATATGCAGGTGCTATTTCGAGCTCTGATCTCCTTTTCCCAATGGCTACTTTGTATTTATGCCTGGGGCTACCAATACATTAGCATTTTATTGCTGATGTTACAGAGAAGAGGCTCTAGAAGGGGTTGATCCGAGAAGTGGTGCCCAGTGGAGAGAAAGGGTTCACCTTAGCCCACATCAGAGCCTCGTTCAGCGAGATGGCAGTTTTGCCGTCCTCTAGGAAGAATGCTGGACCCTGTAAAAAGTACCGGTAGTCAAATATTTGATTAACAGACTCTGTGATCCTTGATCATTGGGCCAAACCTACAAGCACATAACTTAAGTTTCATTTACACTCAGTTAAACTCCAAAATTTGACTTCGCCTTTCATTCCTTTTGAGTCATCAGACATTTCAGACTTCCAGGAAATGTTTTGGAACTGTATTGTATGATCATGGGGAAATACCCGATTGAATTACATCATAGAATAGATATCATTCTTTGACATGACTTACTCCATTATTTACACCATGGTTTATTTTACACTGACAGTACTTATTCCTGGTGACTTCATACCAGATACCACATCCTACTACCCTGGGCATACCCAACACAGTATCGCTCAATCCCTGTCCGCTCATTTCCAATCCTTGCTGCTCAGGTCAAGATACATACAAACTACCTTAACCAGTGCCACCCAAAACAATACTTCCACTTGCCTGTATTCTTGTCTTGGACAGGAAGGACACATGTACATCTGAGTGGCTGGGCAGATGGGAGCCGGTGCAGTGGTCAGCCCCGGGTTCTATGTCCAGTTCCTCCTGACCAGCCTTCCTCAGTAGCCTCTGTAGAGCCTTCTGGTACCCTTCCCTCAAACTCACCTCACTACTCGCCTCCGACGAATCCTTCTTATACTCTCTGTAGGGAACAGAACAAGAGAATTATCAGTCTTCTCCATGTTGTATCTCTAAAGTATCCATTTGGCTACCAATTCTCTATTGGTTACATGTACAGGGTTAGGCAGCAATAAGAATGTTAAACCTTTAGCACACTAAAGTAGCTGTTTGGCTATCACCTCTCTGTTGGTTACAGGGATGCAAGCTTTAGAAATTTTTCTGCCTGTTACATCCATTGTAAGATGAGTATCCAGACCTGACCTAGGGACATCTTATAACATTGTAACATGCTAAAACAATACAAAAGACAATGGTATTTACTGTATAATCGTTGAAAGATAGAATTTTCAAGTGATTACATGTGTATATGGCATTTTTAACAGTTAATAGTTCAGCACCAGGGACAGGAATGGTCATTGTTCTTTGGACTCTAGTTATTTGGACAAAACAACTACCAACCTTATTGTAGTGCTACAGGTATGATACTACCTACCTGTAGCACTACAATAAGGTTGGTAGTTGTTTTGTCTGATGATACTGGTGTAGTATAACAATAAGAAGTTTGCTAATCTAAAGGTACCTTTCACTGGCCAAAACTTGTTCTGCCTTCCACGCTGTTTATATATCATTTCTAACTGCTACCAACCTTATTGTAGTGCTACAGGTATGACGCTACCATAGTATAAGAAATTGTTTATCTGAACGTACCTTTCACTGGCCAACACTTGCTCAGCCTTCCATGCTGTCAGCTCCTCCTCCACCTGGTCCTTGCTGAAGGGCCAGTTGGAGTTTTCCTTGTCCACTAACATACTGTACAGGAAAACAACAAAGCAAAGATCTGACACCTCTGAGTCAATGTTATATTCTTATAAAGGTTTCATAAAGAGTTTGGGCAAATTTCTAGCCCTATTCATTACCCTAAGTTTTACTCACTCCTACAAGTATTTTGCTGGCAAACTATGGGTAAGTCTTAAATGAAGCTCTTTCGAAACAGGAAAAATGGTTGATTTGCTCTGCATAACTGAAAGTCTTCCCTGTGTAACACATTGTACAGAGAATGATTTTGACCGTGTCAACATGGACATAGCTAGCAGAAAATGAATGGCTTTCTTTGTGCCTGTATTCAACAATATTCCATATTCAAAACTGCATTCTTAACACTGTGGCAGCAACATTTAGCAGCAGCAATACCTAGCTGCAGTACAAAGTAGAGCCAGCCCTGAGGAAGGTGACAGGTGGTAAGACTCACCTTGTTTGCTGGAAGAGTGCGGGAACAATGGCGCTGTACCCTCTCCTCACAGCCAGCAGGGCTCCAACATAGGCACTGATGGTGAGCAGCTCTGTGCGAAGGCTACAGGAAAACAGCAGAAAGCACCCATAAATAGTTCCATCAAGTTGGCAAACATAGTTTTTGTCTTTGTTAGAGAAAACTGAATGTTATGAAGCAAATTTGAACTGTAATTTCCAAGACAAGAAATTGAACTTAAAACTCCAGTCTTTGACAACGAAGCTGAACTTTGTCCCTGTACATGCATATTGTTACATAATGATTACGGCAAAGGATGCATTCTCAAATCTGACTTATCTTTGCTGCTTTGTGACGAACAGCCATGGTTTACTCTATATAAATGTGGCCAGAAAGACACAACTTCAACAAAACCTCTGAATTCTGAGTGGTGCAGATAAAACTAGTCTGGTGCAGGTAATTTTTACATTACCTGCCCCAGACCAGTGCAGGTATGCAGAAAAAAAGAATTTTAACCCCAGCCTTACCTGGTGCACTTTGGCCCATCCAGTTTGTCTGTCCTGGTACACCCCATGTACTGCACCAGTTCTGACACATCCTGGACTGTCCAGCCAGAGGTCGACATTCTCTCTGTAGAACAAGGGGGAAATACACTCAGTAAGAAAGCAGTCACTTACATGTACATTGTACAATGACATCCAACAATCACTAACTAACTAAAGGCCTTTTTTGGGTTAGTCATGCATTTGTTATGCAGAATTCAGCTGTCTCCTTACGGAAAATGCTGTCTTAGTACATACATTAAGTTTTCATGACACATCCTACCACCCAGAGCATACCCTGTCAATCAACTGAAACACAATCTCTGCCCTGAAATCCAATCTCCACCTTCTCACTTCCAATCTTTGCTGCTCAACACAAAATATATACAAACTCCCCATAACTAGCGCCACCCAAAACAATACTTCCAAAACTACAACTTTTCTGATGCAGGAGCACTGATAAAAAGATGACTGAGTTCAGGGCAGGTTGAAAGGAGGTAGCAATGTTCTAATTATTCTATGGAACGTTTGGAAGCCTGTGTGATAACCATTTATAATAGCACCCGTGAGAAACTGCTACTTATCACACAGCTAGTACATGTACATCAATATTGAATGTCATCATGGCCAAGGTATGACATAAAAAAAGACAACTGACCCTTGACAACTTTGAGTCCCAGCTCTAAGCCCTGTTCCGGGTAGGTAGAGAGCAGGTAAAACTTGACAGCCTCTGTCTCCTGTCCCTCCTCCTGTAGGCCCTGGGCCTTGCTGTAACACTCCTCCATGTCTGGGAACCCAGCCTGGTAGTAACACACACACACATAGAGCATGTTGGTCTTCATATAGGCAAAAGTACAACAGGCCAAATTGTAAGCATAATAACACTTGAGACCAAGTGTAATGCTAGCTGTAAAATCTGATCTTCTTTCCAGCACAAAGGAAACATCATGAATTTCCAGTCGATCTTGACAAACTTGATCAAATTTCTTGGATTTTACAGACACAGATGAGCTTTCATTCAAAAGTGTTATGCTAATAAGAAAGTGCCATGTTTTTGACTGGTGTGCTGCTTCCTAAAGCTACATGTATACATACCTGTAGCCAATGTAGGTGGTACTCAGAAGCTCTGAGGAAGGTGTCTAACACCCATCCAAACGTAAGCAGGTGAGAGACATTGCTGGTTGTGTGAAAGAACACTCCAATATCCTATGTTCTACCAACCTGATGAAACTATCTTAGATATTACCGTACCTTTGCATGTAGGTCGTTTATCTCTGCGGCTCCCCCAGAACAGCTGATACAGAACCTGGCCAGTGCAGCCTCACTGTTGGGCAAACGCTGCAACATCTCCACAGCTAGGTCCCTGTGGGAACAAGTAAGCAAAGAGTTTATAGTTATACTGCTGCGAAATATCTGAGTGTTATTTCTATGCATATTTGTCTTATCTACAAGATCCAAGAAGTTAAATTGGTGTGACCTCATTAAAAGGTATATAGAGCAAAGGGGAAGTGACAAACCTGTACCCCAAAAATGGTACGCTAGTGATGGAAGGTGAGGAAAATGTGTAAGTCTTAGAGTTACAATGTATATCAGTGTGACATCGATTATAGAAAATACACCAACTTGAAGACAAGTCCATTGCATATTAGAAAGGAGATACTAAGAATTCTTTGTGTGAAAAGACAAGAAGTTCCTTAAACTTATAGGCCCCTACCATAGGATTTCGGGAAATGGAAATATATGTATTTTTAACAAAATCCTTATTTGATCCTACATGTACAATAGGAGCCTTTATTAACATGTAAAACCCTCAGAGCTGAAACCTTATTTCACGTATTTTCACAGTAAACCCCTACCATCTGTTGATGCGGGTGCATCGCTGTGCCAGTAGTTCTGTAGCCAGGTACGTGAGGCGGGGGGTTTTGCCGATGGTTGTTCCCAGGCTGATGGCCAGTTCCAGCTCATTCCCTCGGATCAACTTCGACATGGCAAGCTGGAAACAAAATTTTTTAAAAAATCAGAGATTTCAGACTTCTGGGAAGTGTTCTGGGTATATCCGTGAATGTATTGGAACTGTGTTGGTAATTGTGGTGTAATGCCTGCTGGAATTACATGTACATTACAGAATTGATTATTACAAGCACAATTGAATGATGTAACTCACTCCTGTATGGTTTATTTCATACCATGATTACACAGTACATATTCCTGGCAACCTCATACCACATGCACATCCTACCACCCTGGGCATACTGGGTCACAACCCTGTCAATCAACTGAAACCAATCTCCACCCACTCACTTCCACTTCTCCTTGTTCAGGACAAGATACATACAAACTCCAGTAACCCAGAGCCACCCTCTGACCGTTTCCAAAATCATATCTAGTTGCCTGAGTTTTTGGCAGCCTTACCTTGTAGTCCTTCACAGCTAGGTGGCAGCAGGCAGCCTTCATGGGCTGTACGTCCCGGAAGTACCAGTTAGCCAGACAAACTACATACAAACTCCTACAGCCACCCAAAACAATACTTCTACCCCTTACCCTGCAATCTTCTACAGCTAAGTGGCAGCGGGCAGCCTTCAAATGTTTTAAATAGCCAAACACCAGCCAACCACAGCTGACCTAGGAGGCCATATTCAGCTATGTGTGACAGGGGCTTTACCTACATTGCTGTACCCCTAACCATGGATGTGGGGAGTTTGGCTAGTGTTCGGAAGGCTATATTTGGCACAGGGGCTGGGGTGTTACCTTGTAGTCTTCCACAGCGAGATGGCAGCATGCAGCCTTCATGGGCTGTCCGTCCTGGAAGTACCAGTCCGCGAGGCGCTGGCTGGCCTGGTGCAGCAGCGGCCAGCTGTCCTCACAGTCCTCCGTTACACCGTTGTACGCCGCGTTCCCGCACTCCGCCGCCGGGCCGGACTTTATCGACCCCTCCTGCGCCGCCTGGGCAACAAGCATGGCGTCCTGAAGCTCCCCCCTGCAACAAATGGTTTATTGGTCAAACAGTACCTGTGCAATAGCAGCCTTTTATAGCGCTGAATTGATGCATGGTTTTACAATCGGTTTACAATCACCTTTAAGCATCAATCAATAATCACAAACAATCACATGATACATACAAGATATTTGATCCACACACTTTTTGTGCAACTGTCGCAAGGGTCATTCTTATACATTATGCACTGAAGCATGGCAACATTGTGAAACAAGAAATCAGAGATTTCAGACTTCTGGGAGGTGTTTTGGACATCTGTGAATGTTAAAAGTCCTTCCTGCACCAAGTGGTGCATGAGTAGGGCAGTGCCCACCTCCTGTTCAATAGCCCTTGGGTTACAAAGTACCGGTACGTGTAGTGCAATCACTACAGCAGTGCGCTAGTCCACTCTTTCCTAAATGCTGAGTGCTAAGCAAAGAAAACAGTATGTACCATTTTTAAAGTACACATTCCTGGTGGCCTCATACCACACCCATCCACACAGACTCTACTGTGTCACAACCCTGTCAATCAACTGTAACCCAATCTCAGTCCACCCACTTCCAATGGTGCATGATTACATAGTACACATTCCTATTACACCATGCTTTATGTTTCATACTATGATTTAAGTACCTAGATGTGTAGAAGTCGACCACTGCCTGGACATCTCCGATGGCCACACAGAACGGTGCTGCTTCCTGTTTGTCCTCCAGAACCTGCTGCTTCGCCCATCTTAACAGGGAGAAAACAAATTAAATTAGTAAGTTATTCATCATAAATCTGACCAATAAACAACCAGGAGAGTGTGTGGTAAAGGTAACGTTTCTCCTTGCACAGACAAATGAAACCTTATGTGGCCAAACTCGCCAGGCAAATTATTTGGATAAATTTTACTGTTTTATTTTTGCATTTTTGAACCCAAACATCCAGGGGCATGACACAGAAGATAGTATCGAAATTTGATTCATGGTTATAGGTTTTATATCGGACAGTTTGTCTCAAAATCAGGGAACGAACACTGCACACCTTATATAATAAGGTACATACCTTCTTGCCAGGGACTTCCAGTACTCCATGGACACTCCAGGTGCTACAGCCAGGGCCTTCTCCCACTGTGAAAATAAACCAGGAAACATTCCTGACTAGTCTGGTCAAGTGAGGACTTTTTACAAATCAAGTGGGAAAATAGGCGTTTTAAGTGTCTTTTTAAGTTGACAACCCTAATTACAGTGATCAATTTCCTGTGTTAATATTAATGACAGCATAGTACTGAGCAACTTTATTCTTCAAATGTCTGACTCACCTCTCCCACCTCCACCATGAGCTCACAGTACCTCTGCAGGTTGCCCAGTTTGACATGGATGAGTGCCGCCTGCCGAAGTCTGTCCTCCCTGCTCTGGGCTCCGACACCTGCGCCAAACTTGGACATCCGAACTACCTCCAGCTCCTGGGCTTCTGACTGTAAGCACACACACAAACAGTCAGAAATCCATGGGTTATCAGTTAACCATAGGTTAACACAAGAAATTCTCAGAAGCACCACTTCCAGCTCCAGGACTTCCCACTGAAGTTGGAGGCAACATGCAAACAAACACACAATCAGAAAGGTACTAGGTACTACCTAGTTTACTTAGGAGCTGGTTTCTTTTGTAAAAGCAGTTCATCAGACGTACTAGCTCTCAGGGAGAAAGTAGTTGAGTACTCATCTATTGTCTTCTAGTGTATATTCTACTATATGATTTATTCCTTTTATTGCAGGATTTGTATTTGACCGTAGATTACAATTTAGTTATTTGTCTGTACCTTTTGTGGGTCAGCCGTTACCAGCTGAGTCACATAACCCTTGTGATAAGTTAAACATGAATTGTTGCCAATAATTTTAATACAAATACAACAGTACTTACAGCCCTGTAGCTGGTGAGGTGTTTGGTGTGCATGATGCCCTTACTGTAGTTAAACAGTAGTAACCAGTACTTACAGCCCTGTAGCTGGTGAGGTGTTTGGTGTGCATGATGCCTTTACTGTACACCTGTGGGTTCAGTCCCTCCTCCTCACCTCGAATCACAGACACCAGGTCCCACAGGTTCTTAGTGCCGTTGGGGGGCTGCATGGGGAAGGCATGGCATAGAATCTGACATAAGGCATGTCTTGCCAACATAATATAATATTGTATCCAGAACCATGCCTATCTAGTACTATGTTGGGTGGGTTTGGGTTAGGATGGGGAAGGCACGGCACATAAGTTGATACAAAACATGTCTCTGATGCCAACATAGATTGTGACAGTCACTATTGTATCCAGAACTGTGTCTATCTACATGTATAGTTCAATACCCGAATGGGTTAGGGTTAGGACCACAACATTACGATGGAGAATACTGGTGAATTTGGGTAATAGTGATTACTGGTAAAATTGGACAAAGAATAGGCCTGGAACAGGATCCAGATGAGGATGTAGATAAGGAATAGTCAGATGTTTGATTCTTTAAATTTTTCTCAGTTATCTCTTTATCTCAGTGCCTGTACAGTTGCATGTACTTAGTAGCTGGGTCCATTCCAGTGTGGGTGTATCAAACCATAAAGTTAGGAGTCTGGTCTGACACAGCTTGTACTTACTGAACAAAACTGGTGTGTTACACGTAAAGGTGGTTTATCGGTTGAGCAAAACAGAAAGACAAACTCAGTAGTGGCGTGCAGTTGCATGCACAGTGAACTTACACTGAAGAACTCAGCAAAGATCTGCAGCCCCCTGATGTACTGTTCCTGTGGAGGGAGGGCCTCCACGCGCTGTCGGAGGTCACGGGACACACGGCCAGACAGCAACGGTGGTGCACCCGCCGCCATCGCTTGTTCTGTGGACAACACAGATAACCAAAATAAAATTATTGGTCAAACATTATCCATGAAGTCGCAGCCTTTTAATACTAGTAGTGCTGAATTGGTGCAGGGTTTACAATCACATAATACACATGATACATATAACATATTTTCTCCACACACTTTTTGTGGAACTGTCGCAAGGGTCTGTGCGGCTGCTATTCAGGTGACTTCAACACGACTTTCCCCAACCCAAGTTAGGTACCCATTCACACCTGGGTGTTGTGAGGAAAGTCACTGAGAAATCAGCACCAAGGACAGGTGGCATTTATGTATGTTAGGGATGAATGTATGAACATCTAACACTGCACAAAACACACAACTTAAAACATGCGTAAAGGTTCTTTTTCTTTACTTACATTTAGAACCTTTATGCAAGCTTTAAGGTGTGCTTAAATATAGAATTTTGTGCAGTGTAACATTGAAACCTAACTAGGATGGCACCCAGGCATAGCATGTTGGCAGAACATACTGCGCCTGCACTTGTTTTCCCTAGGTGGTCAACATTGCACCAGAATTTTGCTGTGTCTTTTCTGACACAATATTTGAAAACTATGCATTTTGTTTGTTTGTTTCGCATAACCGGTAAACCGCCTTCAGGCGTAACACACCAGTTTTGTACATGTGCGCACATGTACAAGCTGCGTAAGACCGGACTGTAAGTTTTGAACCACTCACACCGGGAAGGTCCCCTACTCTTTTCGATAAGTGCGGTGGGTTCTTTAACGTGCATGGGGTGTGGCTCTCCCAAACACGGGACCTCCATTTAACGTCCTATCCGAGGGACGTCCCTAGCCCTAACCGAAGCTAGGTACTCATTTTCACCTGAGTGAAGTGAGGAAAGTCGTGTAAAGTGCCTTTCCCAAGGGCACAAGATCGGTGACATGGGCAGGGTTCGAACCCACAACCTCTGGGGTGTGAGCCGAACGCGCTACCGACTGCGCCACACGATCCCACCTGCATGCATGGGATATCATCCTTAAATACGCAAATACAATCTTAAATGAAACACTCTGCTGAAGTGCTATGCACAATACGTTAGGGGTTTTATGCAGGCACAGTAGTTTCAGCCATTGTGCGACATTAGTGTGCAAAAAAATTCTACACCTGAACCACCAATGACAGATCCCCATACATGCACAGACATGTCCACAGTACAGAGCTACCGATTGGTGCATGCTACATGTAGCAGGATTATATCATACATTACCAGCAATCATAGCCTGGCCACATCCTGTAATACAAAAACAAGCACCTCAGTACACAACAGTATGGATGTGACCGAAGCTGAAACACTCTCTAGCTCATCATACTTTGCCTATGACTTATACCATCAAGACCAAGCATGACTTTTGTATAATAGATAGAAATGTTGTCATACTTCAATATGCGTCTTAATCAATTGTATGAGGAAACTTCGTCTGCTATTACACCATGGTTTGTGCTTCATACCATGATTACACAGTACACATTCCTGAAGACCTCTGCATACTGGTCACAACCCTGTCAATCAACTGAAACCCAATCTCCACCCACTCTTTGCTGCTCAGGACAAGAAACATACAAACTCCCACTAAACCAGTGCCACCCAAAACAATACATGTACTTCTGTCTCAAAAGTAAACAGAGGACAAATTGAGTATTCATGTATCATGGGTGATACTCTGGCTCGGTTCTGGATAGACCACGCATATCCAGAACTGTGCCTGGGGCAAATCTACCTTCTTCCATACCTGGAGACTATCCAGAACTGTTCCTAATCCTCATTCAGGCGTAGAACTAGATAGTCACAGTTCTGGATACAATAGATTACAGACCTTGTGTCATGGCAATTTAAAACCATCATCACCCTTGTGGACTCTAGGAAGAATAGTGTGCAACTTACATAACACTAATGGAGATCCTAATAAAACAAAATCACAGGTGACTGACCTTGTGTCATGGCGAAGATTTCCGTCCACGGCCTCTTGGCGATGACGCTGATCTGCAGTGTGCTGACAAGGGGAGTCAACGACCAGATCCTGACGGTCGAGTCTCGCGAGCAGGAGGCCACAGTGAAGGGGCGCAGGGGGTGACAGGTCAGGCCTACAAACACAAGAACAGAATGCTACTCAGATTGCTTGTAGCCTCCTTTACGTAATCACGGTTGCCGTCGGTTGATGTCACAATTGGTGGTTCAGCACCAAGCAGACATATACAGACACACCTGTCCTTGGTCTTGAACACCATCCACAGAGATATAGTAATCTTTTATCTTTCAATCTTCTTTGACCAAGTCTTTACACATACTAAGCAGCTACCAAATGTTCAGTAGCAAGGACAGGCAAGTGTATCTCTGTATCCACACACAGATACCTGTCCCTGGTACTGAACACCATGCACACACACACAAAACCCATACCAAATCTCTGGACAATATGAGTTTTTGAACCCTTACCGTAGACATCTGCTCCGTGGTCGTACACGGTATCGATGCATGCGCCGTCCGGTGTGTCCCAGACACGTATCGTGTAATCCCAGCTGAACATCATTCACACACACACACACACACACACACACACTCCAATCCTTAGTGCTATACATCATGCACACACACACACACACAAAGCCCTTACCAAATCTGGAGTTTTTTAATCCTTACCATAGACATCCGCTCCGTGGTCGTACACGGTATCGATGCAGGCGCCGTCCCGTGTGTCCCAGACGCGAATCGTGTAGTCCCAGCTGCCTGACAGCAGCAGGTACGGGATCTCTGGGTTCCACAGCAGGCCTCTCACCGGCGCCGTGTGCCCGCTCAGAACCATCGCACACGAGTCCTGTGTGTAGTCCCAGATACGGATGGTCCTGAAGTAACACAGGGAAGTGAAAACTCAGTATTTGGGAAAGAGTATGGACTACCAGTGGACTAGCCCACTGCTGTAGTGCCGGGTTCCACAGCAGACCTCTAACCGGCGCTGTGTGCCCGCTCAGGACCATCGCACATGAGTCCTGGGTGTAGTCCCAGATTCTTATGGTTCTGCAACAGCACAGGGAAGTGCAACAGAGAAATTAGAAAATTCAACAAGAAAGGTACATTGTAACATCTGCAAAACAAATGCATGATGTTTATCTTCAATATGGCCGTGCCTAACAAACTACTACTCTGTTTAGTCTTACTCAAACACATTCATATATATGGTGACCAGCCCCTCCAACTCTGTTGTGCCACTTGCTACATAATGTAATCCAACACCACAGGGTGTCTGCTACAGCACCAGTTACCATGGTGACAGACATCTGGTCCAGGTGGACCTTTTTTTGTTTGTAGAAGTATTTATTATAATTTTACATTACAGTACATTAGTCCAAAGTTGACAGAAGATTTTCCTCACCCATCATCAGATCCACTGCACAGTATGCCCTCCCTCAGCGGGGACCATTTCACATGGAAAACCTTAGAGGTGTGCCCTGAAACATATTAAAATCTCATCACTTAATGTTATTGTTACTATGGGGCAACTAGACTTTCTCTTTGCAGCCAGGAGCTGAAGTTTACAATTGGCAGGGCTGAATCACAAGGGTCTGTAACAGCAGGCTTTCAGCACTATGATGACCCAAATACAACAGTGATTACGAGGGGTGTTCAAAAAGTTCTCGGCCTCACCTAGAAAACGTCAGGGCAGTAAAATTTTTCTTAAACTATTTTATAATATAGTCCTCTCTAACTGCAATGCACTTGGTCCAGTGATGTTCCAGCTTTATTTTCCCCTTGTGGAAGAAGGTTGCATCTGGACCCCCCAGATAGGCCTATACCGCATAGATGACGTCATCATTACCATCAAAACGTTGACCACGTAAGTGGAACTTGAGTTTAGGAAAAAGGTAGAAGTCCGAGGGTGCTAGGTCAGGTGAATTGGAGGAGTGGGATTAGACTGCAAACCCAAATTCGTTTGCTGCTGTCGCTGACCCCTGTGTTGTGTGGACAGGTGCATTTTCATCACGCCAGCTCGGAGCTTTCATCTCCTTTTCTCTTTGATCGTTGTTCTCAACTGTCGTAATTCTGTTGAATAGTACTCCCCATTGATGCTTTAACCCCTTCGCATGTAGTCAATCATGATTACTTCCTTACTGTCCCAGAAAACAGAGGCAAAAACCCTGTCAACGGATGAAACTCGCTAAAACTTCTTTGGGGGGCGGGAAAAATTCTTCATCCATTGTTTGCTCTGTTGTTTTGATTCGGGGTGAAAGTGGTGAACCCAGCTCATCTTGAGTGACAAATGTTTTGAGGAAACTGCATGAATTGGACTGAATTCGTTCCTTCAAATGTCAAGCCTGTTTAAGTTCTGATGTTCAAAAAACATCCGAGGCACCCACCATGCAGACAGTTTGTTCATCCCCAAGATGTTCGACAAAACATTGTGAACTGAGTCATAACACAGGCCAAAGAACCTGCTACATGTTGGCCAGTCTCACATCTGTCATTCACTAACATGTCATGGATGGCCTCAACTGGATTGTCCATGGTGCTGATTTGTGGCATCCTGACCTATGTTCATCTTTTGTGCTCTCCTTGACGCGATTGTACCTAGTAACCCCGTTCTTTATATTTAAATAAGAAGGAGAGTCATCACCAAGTGTCTTCATGGATGTCCTTAGGAGACTTTCTTTTTTATCGATACACTTGATCACAGCACACGCTTCTTTTGCGGCCATTTTGTGATTTGCCCTCACCCACCCCATTTTCACGGGGCGTCACGTGCCCATTAATGAATACAAAAATTTGAATTTTTGTGTGCAGTGATGTAAGACGTCATAGTATACAGCTATACCAAAGAATAGGAGTTTGACCTTTATTTTCTAGGTGAGGCCGAGAACTTTTTGAACACCCCTCGTACCCTGGGTGTAGCCATAGGGCTATATACATTGATCCGCTCAAACCGGGAAGGTCCCCTACTGTTTTTCATAAGTGCGGTGGGATCTTTATCATGGCTCTACTCAAACATGGGACCTCATGAGGATTATCCTTTTAATGAAGCAGTTCATGCCTTTTCTTCCAATGCCCATCAAATAAATGTGAATAAGATAGATAAGTGCTGGGGTCAACAGAACTGGAGGGTCTGCGCTCTAAGCAGATCAACCTGGTAAAAGTTTAGCCTCCACCAGGCCTTTCTACGGGAATACAGATCATAGAATTCGGCAAAAAAAGAGAGTAAAATTGGCCAAGAGAGTCCGGCCGCGGGGAGGTAGTTTCTTTCCCTCTGCGTGGCCAGTTAAACCTACAAGGCAGCCAAACTCCCCTGGCAAATATTCTCCTATATATAGCCAGCGTAGTTACAGTAGTCTAGTAGAGACTAGTAAAACCTATGCATACAGCCGCTACGCAACAGACCCTAATGCCTGCAAACTATTAAAAATAAATGAAACTTCATGAGAAGAATACCTGAGAAGATTTTGAGTGGCTGGTCGGAGTTGGTTGCTAAGTAGAAGACTCTGACGTTCTTGTCCTCACATCCGGTGGCCAGCATGTCCCTGCAACATGAGCAGGTATTACAAGCAATCATGGCTGGTCTGGACACGCATGTATTGCTGTTTGCCTAAATATTACTACATATTCAAAGATTCATTGTTAGCGTATCATGACTATGGACAATGCCGCACCATCATTTTCAGTATGAGGGTGCCGACCCACCATGCTCCAGTACCTACGTATACTGCTAAAATATCCAAATCACCATGTTTCTATGAGATAACTAACAACAGACCACTGTCACTTACAAAAAGTAGTGGATGCTATATCTGACAGTTTTCAAAATCTATCCAGTTGTTTGAGTACGGTAACATCTTGAGTATTTCATGATACATGGCGTTAACTCCATTGTCTCTCGAGGCAGAAGGATGCCAACAACAACAGCATTACATGTATGTACATATTATTACCTGGATATGTAAACTTCAACACCGTAATATGAAGTACATACTTGTTGGTGAGGCTCCAGTCACATCCGAACACAGGCATAGGATGTTTGTACTTCTTCACCAGCTTTCCATCCACAGTTCGGATCACACTGGATTTAAAAAAGGGTAAAAACTGATAAGCCTGAAATTCGTTTTTGCAAGGTATACAGTAAAGACACTGTGGTTTATGTTTTAAACCATGATTACACAGTAGTGACAGTACACATTCCTGGCAACCTCATACCACATCCTAGCACCCAGGGCATACTGGGTCACAACCCTGTCAATCAACTGAAACCCAACCTCTGCCCCCTAACTTCCAATCCTTGTTGCTTAAGAGAAGATACATATAAACCTTAACTACTGCCACCCAAAACAATACTTCCATCCCAGAAGTAAAAATACATTGTATTACTTTTAGAATAAGCAAAATATATCTGAACAGCACATAGACACAGAAAGCTTACCAGTGTCCATCAGACCCACACGTGGCTATTCTTCTGGAGTCTTTGTTGTTCCAGGCCACACAAAATATACTATGTCGCCCATGCTGCAAGGGTGGAAAAGGACCAGTCAAACTAGAAACTTTAAGGTACTAATTGCAAAGCAACTGCATAATGTTTAACTTCACATGGTCTCTCTAACTAACTACTGCCCTGGTTATTCTTGCTCAAACATATTCATACTTGTATATAGGGTGACCAGCCCCTCCAACTCTGTCCTGCCACTTGAGTGTCTCCTACAGCACCAATTACCATACATAGTGACAGACGTCTGGTTCAGGTCACTGACTTTATTTGTTTAGAATGAAAGAAGTAACACAGCAAAATCTGTATGTTTTGCTTCTGCATGAAGCTGGTGTGTTACGCCAAAGGGCGATTATACCGGCTATAGGAGCTGGTGTGTTACACCGAGGGATAGTTATACTGGCTATACAGATATAGATACAGATACAGATATCTAAGCCCCCTACCCACCTCGTTGAATCGCTTGATGACCTTGCCCCTGCCGATGTCCCAGATGAACATGCCCTGTTTGGACGTGGAGGCTGCGACACAGTTCAGGTCAGCTGAAATAGGAAGGACAGATCCACGACAAAACTCACATCACAGGGGTGGGCAACCATTGGAGAGCTATTGACAGGCTATTTTTTGTTTATTGAGATTACCACACATTGCTGAAGGTGACTTCCACCTTTCCAAGATGTTAACTCTGAGACCAGACTGTTAGGTTTGAACCACCCACACCCATTTTTTTGCCTCCCAGTTCATCAAGAAATAGTGTTCTCTGCTGTCTTCAATGATGCTACTTTGAAGAATCCAAGACACTCTGTGTCTGTGACTACTGCCTATCATATGTCCCCCTAGTGTCTTGGGCTAATTTTGTCATAGACCAGTGCAGGTTAGGTGAAAGTAGACATATCAGAAATACCTTCATCGAAGGTAATGAGATGCACGAAGAAACTGTTGCTCAAACGTCTGACTAGTTGCCTATTCTTAAAATCTATCCAGTTGCTTGAGTAACAGTTTCCTTATATACATGATGTATTAGTACCTGGTGCCCAGCTGAGTGAGTAGATGACCCCCTCGTTGCCAGGTGATGTGTACACGGCCTGCATGGTGGAGATGTCCCACACTTTGATGGTCCCGTCAAACGATGCTGTCGCAAGCAGGTTCGGATCATCTGGCTTAAACTTACAGTCAAATATCGTCTCTATGTGGCCCTGGGGTAAGTAAAACATTGGAAGTTAATAAGTAAGTAGCAATAATGTGCAGTAAGATAGAAGGTTTCAAAAGTTTAGGTGGAAGGAGATGTTATACCTTGCACACACACACATATACATGCCTGTCCTTAGTGCTGAACACCATTCACACAGAAATAAGAGGTATGCATAGCTGTCCTTGGTGCAGAATTTTGTACACACACAAACAAACAGTCCTGTCCTTGGTGCTAAACACTATCCACACACAGACAAACATGCCTGTCCTTGGTGCTGAACACCATCCACACACAGGCAAAATGCATGTCCTAGGTGATTCACAATATCTGCACACTCATGCCTGTCCTTGGTACTGAACGCCATCCACACACACACACACACAGAGGAATACGGACCTGTCCTTAGTTCTGAACACTATCTACACACACACACACACACACACACACACACACACATAAATCCATTACCAAGTCTCTGAGGAAGTCCCATTTCCTCCTGGCCAGGTTGTAGAGCCCCACGCCTCCGTCCAGAAATGTGCAGACGATGAGGGCAGGCGGCATGGTGGAAGACTCCTGGTTACCTCTGTGGACAGCTGAGCTGGTGGAGGATGCTTCGATGGGCTCCTCTATTGTAACTTCTGAGGAGGCAACAACATTATCATATATCTTCAATATCTTCATATATCTAACCCTCAGAAGACGGGGAAAAACAGACGATAAACCGGACAGTGAGTGAGTGTGTGAGTCAAGAAGGTTGTTTTTAGGGCTTTGTGCATCTGTGTGTGCGTCTGTGTCTGTGTGTGTGTGTGTGTGTATGTCTGTGTGTGTCTGTGTGTGTGTCTGTGTGTGTCTGTGTGTGTGTGTGTGTGTGTGTGTGTGTGTGTGTGTGTGTGTGTGTGTGTGTGTGTGTGTGTGTGTGTGTGTGTGTGTGTGTGTGTTTGTGTGTATATAATTCCACCAGATAACATTTCACAACCCTAAAAAAATGCCAAAAGAAATATCTAAAGAGATCTACAATGTCATGTCCCCCAGTCTAATGCACTCCTGTATATCTGAACTGTGCATACATGGGCGTAATGCACTGGAGACAAGACTGTGTGCCTTCCCTGATTTTTATGAGGTTTGTTGCAACAGTGGTGTTTCACACATACAAAGAAGAAAATTGAATTAGACCATACCTCTGTGTAAGTTCATTGTGTAGAGTCCTAAGACATGAAGTGCGTGGAAGCCAGTCTTCTTCACCTTGATGTTTTCTAGTGGCGTGCTTTTAGGAACTGTCCATAATCTTAACACACCTGCCTGGGTGTCTGTAGAGAAAAAAAAGCATTGTTTGTTAACACCTACTAAATGCTAAATAAAGAACTCAAATGGTGTCTTGATCGTGACCTCAAATCACTAGACTAAGTATAGTTCAATGAACTCAATAAAGAGTTGAGCATATTAGTAACTCTACTACCACTGGTCATGACAGAGAACTTAGCCCAAACTTGACACAATTATTAAGTATCAATTTACAGACAGAGTCGAACAACGAACAGTTCTAGACATGACCCAGACCAGTTGACAACTTGATTAATTTCTGCTTCTGCCAAACAGACACAACAGAGACACATCAATCCATTGAATTTGAAGCATACAGGAGAGTTTTACATCATTGCAGCAGCAGGAGATATATTAGGCCTTGGGAAAAATGTTCTTTTTCTGACCGAACCTAGCAAAACATCAATCACACTAGCCTTTTTGGTGGAGACCATTGGCAAGAGACATAAAATGTTTGATCTAACATCAGAATCTATATACTATATTTATAAGCTAAAATTCCTCTGAAATAGTTTTTCAAATGATTTTTAGCAGGAAATTTTTTCCAGACTCTACCAGGAATCACATCATTTTTTTCACTTGGCCTAACAGTGAATCAACAAGTGCAGAAGAGAACCATATCGTGTATAATTCAGATCCATTTATTTTGCACATGTATCCTTTATATTGCACACTTGTGTATACCACTTCGTCAAAGGTGTTATTCATTCCAGTTAAGTGCTTGCAGCATGAAACACTGTTGTTCAGCCAAGCTTACAAAGTGTAGCCACCTGGAAGTTAGGAGGCATTAAGTTTTTACAATTAACTTTTGATGCTACATGTACTGTAAATGCATTAACTTTTGTAGTACTTTTATTTTGCAGTAAAAGGGAAAGGGTTTTTTTTTAGAGTTTTAAGTTTGTACTCTGTAGTACAGTGTAAGAATCATAGAGCATACATTAGTGGTGCTTTGATCTCACAAAATGAGGTTGCTGAAAAAAACATCAAAATAAAACCAATTTCTATATTTACAGTATGTAAGTCTAATGGCTATGAATAATGAATGGACTGTAATGAGGGTCAGTTTCTTTTGAACAGGCAGCCACAAATAGGACGTAAAAAAGTCCTAAGGGATATGCCGGCCTAAATATCTGAAGTATGTCGAGCTTCAAGGACTAATGCATTGTGGAACAAACTCTCTACTGGACAAAGGCAACTATATATAATACCACCACAATTATAGCTTCTAAAAATGGACTGAAATAGGACTAGTATTTAGCCTTAATTGTTTTGAAGTTATTTAAGGCCACGAGAAAGTACTCTGTAGACAGCAGGGCACAACATGGCATCAAATGGCTGAGTAGGTCAAATGGCCAAGTAGCTACATGTAGGTTAGCAAACATGTGATCAAAAGGTTACAGGTTCGATTCCTGGTATTCCTGCATGGCAAGATGTTGTGCCCTTGGGAAAGGCACTTTACATGACTTTCCTCACTCCACCCAGGTGTAAATTGATTTTTGAGACCGTATGGTCACACACACACACACCACACTCACATGCACACACACACACAAACATACATACACACACATGCACACACACACACACAAACATACACACATGCACTTACACACACACACTTTCAAACCAAGCCCAATACTACCACAAAGTAGGCTCCACAACAGAGGTGTCTAAAAAAATCGAAGTTGTCTCACCTCCAGTTACAAACATGCCTGGCGCAGTAGGTACCCAGGCCAGTGTATGTACCGACACTGCCGCGCTTGGCAGCGTGTACGTGTTAATCACCGTCAGCCCCTCCGTGTCCAGTAAGCGAACGCCGAAGTGGGAGTTGGCCACGAGGAGGTACTCCGTCGACAGCGGATCCCACTCCAGCGCCACGACAGGGTCGTCTTCTTCTGTCTCGTCCACTGTTTCTGGACGTAAGACGTGCTTCTGTGGCTTCTGGCCTGAAGTTGCAAGGGGGAGATGGAAAAAATATGATTGCAAGATACTCTCCAGTATATATTTTGCTTGTGTGGTAACTTTATATATATTGTGTTCTAACCAGCCATTGTCTTCTTCCGTCTCGTCCACCGTTTCTGGACGTAAGACGTGTTTCTGTGGCTTCTGACCTAAAGTTATAGGTGGTAAAATACGACCATGCAAGTTACTCCCCACTGTTGTGATTTTTTAATAGTAGAAGGTCTGTGGCAGTGTTTTAGCCAATGTCCCTCTTACCACCCTTACCCAATCCGTCATCTTTGACAGACAACAATGTGTAAAGATACAGAAAGAGATGTCATTAAACTAAGCTTAGCCTACCAGCAAATTTTTCCATTCCAACTGTAGAAAATAGGGTTTCAGAGGGTAAAAATGTCAAAATTGTGACCAGCCCTCCATCTCTGTCCTACAAAATGTAACCCAACACCACGTACAGGGTGTCTGCTACACCACCAGTTACCATGGTGCAGCACTGGTTACCATGGTGACAGCAAGGTAATTGACCTTATGTGCCAAAAAGCAGTTACTCAAGCAACTGGATTGCTTTTGGAGAATGAGAAGAAACAGTCTACAGAGATAAACTTGACCTACCTGGTGAGAAGAGTGAGAGACTCCCGTCCACATGTCCCAGCACCAGCTTCCCGATCCTGCGGTGGTGCCACCTGAACTGGCAAACATCATACATAAACCCGTGAGCCTCCTTATGCTGCGACAGCCCCGCACTCCCCTGCTTGTAGTTCCATATATACAGCGGACCCTTCTGGAAAATGTACGACAAGCAGTCCGCCTCGTGGAAGAACCAGTCTATGCACTGCGGCGTGCCTTTAGGGTTGTCCAGGCTCTTCAGGAGTCTTTGTTCTGCCACGTGCCAGATGCATATTCTCTGGTCTGCAGAGGCGGAGGCTAGGATGTCGGGGTTACGGGGGTGCCAGGCCATCGCCGTGATGGTCTTGGTGTGCTCTGACATGATGGAGTGAAGCTTGAACTCGTTGAATTTCCTGTCCAGCTGGGAGTTCAAGAAATATTTGATTATTCATTGATGCCTCTGACACAACAAACTTTCACAAACATTGCAGTCAAGTACCAGAACTATCAATCAAGGATTGAGGTCTTCAAAAATTCATTCTTTCCTAGAACTATTGCAGTGCTGTCACCAAGTACAGTAGGGGCATTAGATGGCTTTCAACAATGTTTAGAGTAAGATGTTCAAGCGTTAGGTGTAACAAGTCCTTTGGTGTAATGTAGCCAGCTGCCACAGTGCCGCATGCCTGCGAAGCTGGTGTGTTACGCCAAAGGGCAGTTATACCGGTTATATGGATATAAACGCCAGATAGACCTATGTTACAAAATCTGTGGAGGTCAGGGACCGTTTGGGCATCCTCCCTGAGAATTTGCGGTCATTCAACTGTAACTGGAGAAAAGCATTCTCAAATTACAGAACTACCAAAAGGAGCTCAAGACCTTTCATCAACAAAATTTACTTCAACAGGAGCTGGAGGGATTCCCTGTCACTATGGAAACCAGACATCACAGCCTCCAGTACCAAGATAACAAGCAATTCTCAGTCCAATTAACTTTCCAAAATCATATCCAGTTGCTTGTGTAACAGTATTCCTGGATAACCTTCACCGACAAAGCAGTTCTCAGTCTGATAAAAATTGGCCCATGTTAGCACATCTGATATATCAACAGGATCAACTGATATACAACTGAGGTGACACTTAACACAGGTCTTAAATTTATGTCTGCCCTTAAGAATAGCAATGTTCTGTGGGAGGAGTTCCAGAGCTTTACACTTAGAGGTGTTAGTCGTCAATCTTCTAGGGGCCAAGCTACCTTCAACAAGTAAGAAGACAACTCTACAATTTCATATAATTGATATACAGTGTCTATGTTAGATGTTCACATATTTATCCCTAATACAAATTGCATCTGTCCTTGGTGCTGATTTTTTAATCTATTAATGTACTTGTAACAGTTAATTTTTTTCATCACTTTAATGGTTCCATTTAATGCCAATAGCCTTTGGACAATTTTTTTCAATTATCATCAATAGATTTTAGGCTTTGCAGGTTATTTGTATGGTTAAAACATGCCCACACAGAGAAAATCTAGCATTTATGGCTTTTATAAATTCATCCCAGGGGATTAGGCATAAAATAAACCAGGCCACGACCAAAAGGTCAAATGTGGCAAACACCTAACAACCTGTCAAATCTCATGAGAAATATGTTTCAGTTGATATTATCAATATCAGCATAGACCAGCTGGTATAGACCCTTGGCATTTTTATACTATTTTGGTAGCAAGCTGTCAAAATGGGATATGGACCATTTGATTAAAAAAATACTCCAATGATACTGAAAGAATAGACAACATTTAATACAGAACTCTAATGAATTTGCATTTTACTTTATATTTTGGTTTTCTTTTAAGCTACAATGTAACATGTAATAACAAAATGTGTATGGAATACTACCTTGAGTATTAGAGCTTCAAAAATATACTAGTCTGCATTAATATATCCGACATGGCTAGAAAATTTGGTTATGATTTCAACAGCATTCATTCTTCAGTTTTCCCAGCCAGCAAGACATGTACAATGTAACTCAACAGAAGCTTAGACAGGCTTACCCATAGGCAAATACATTAATAATACTTCAACCCCGAACGCAGCTCCCACCATTACGGTGGACAAAAGAAGCAATGAATAATGGATTGTGACTGTGGGTCGACATGTATATTTTATCAAGACTTGGTATATAAATATGGCTTTAAAACTGCCATGACCCCCATTTTTCTTCAACCTCTGAAGTTCCTCGTTTTTATGTCGAATCAAAATGGTTATTCCTTTGAGTAGAGATGTGTCGAGACCATGAAATTCAATATCAAAAGCAGGGCTCAAATCTACTAGCTACAGTAAGGCCTTAGAAACAGAAAGTTGTGTTTCCAGTTACCCGACCAACTGTTGCCTAAGGCCTTTTTCTGATGTCAACTGCTCTGAATATATTGTGTCGTGTCTCTTGCACACATTTTAATTTAAAAGGACGCTTTAGCTTTTAAAAAAATAGAATTTAGAATTTTATGTTAGAATTAGAATTTTGAAACATAAAACACCTTTCTTGTGTATATAAGTTTCTGTTGCAGGATTTTGATGGCATATGAATAGAAAGCAATGTTCTAGCCCGCATCCAACGACGTGTTTCTGTCATTTGACAGAATTTTGCTACTCAATGGACAAAAATTTTGCCCAATCCGTCATCTTTGCCGGCCAAAAATCGGCACAGGAAGAAATGTCATTAAACTAAGCTTAGTTTACCAGCAACATTTGCACCTCAAAATACAGGAAATGTGTTTCAGTCAGTGTCTAGAATCTTAAAAATTCCTCCCTGAGATTGTTGCATAGCTCGACAAAATTGAGATGCCGGAAAAAATATTTCAAGCTAGCTAGGATACTCGGGTAGAAAGAATTCCATACCTGATAGATTCTACAAATTGCCGTATCTTCGATATTGTGTTCAATTTCATTTTACTTTCTAGAAGATTTCATTTCTTACATTAACATTATACTAGGTTCTGTTGGTGTGCCAGCCATTTTCATTTTATGTCCACTATTACATTTTGTATTTGTCACCTCAACTTTGTGATTATGAGCGAAGGATCCTTTATATATATAAGCATATTATGTGACTTCTGTTCAATGCTCTCAACTCTATGTAGGTGTAATAAAATAAAACACCTGGTAGATGTAGATAGCTAACGTTGCACAGTAGGCAAAGCGGTCCTTGCTGGCTGAACAGACGTTGGTGTTCCATGGCTGGCACCCCGCCGCCAACAGGCCTACCTGCTTTAGCATGGCCATCCTGTCACGGGGTCTGTAGTAACAAAAAATATACCATTATTATTAAATATTATAAACAGTAACAGTATTAAAACTTACAGTAAAACACAACTCAATGTGTCTTAGACCAGAGCTGGTAGCCTGAGCCGCCAACAGTCCAAATTCTGCTCTATTATGGCCATCCTGTCACAGGGTATACAGCAGGGACAAATATGAAATTAGCATTATTACTATCATAAATAGGTATTTAGCAATCAGACACATGTCTAGAAAACAGACCCAGGCTGGCAGCTTGAAGCAAACGGCACAACCTGTTTTAACATGGCCATCCTGTCACAGGGTCTACAACAAGGACAAATATGACATTAGTATTTTTACTATTATAAACAGGATTTACCACACAGATGCATATTTTGTAAACAGACCCAGACTGGTAGCCTGTAGCAAACAGTCCAACCTGAGTTTACAGCAAGGACAAATAATTAGGAACATGGCCGTACAACTAAGTACCTAAAACCAGTTTAGAAAAGAACAAGAAAGAGTCAATTGCCTTTAAGTACCTGTCCAATGATATTAACCAAGGATTGAGGACTGTTCAAAAACTTGTTTTTCCCTGGCTAGAACTATTGTAAAATGGCACTCACTGCCACTGAGTACAGTAGGAGCATCATCACCTTTGCTTTGCCTGCATCCTGAAAAGGTTAGACATAATAGGTCGTTTGGTGTCAGTAAATTCATGTCATGGCACCGGAAACTGTAAGACTACTGTACTATAAAATTTAAATAGTTTCAACTGCAATTTAAAACACTGCAAAAACCTCCCTTTCACTCCTACCGCAAGACATAACCACCGCGAAATTAAGTGCATTTGCAGTATTGTGACTCTTGTATCATTATCTTTTTTTGACTGGTAAGAAATTGGCTGTCAGAGTCATATCGAAGATCAAAACACCAGTGGGACCTGTTGGTAACTTACTGTAATTAGTATGATCCTTGATTATATTCTGTTTATACTGATTCACCCAATCATATAGATCAAAGATCTTAGCCACAGGCAAAATATCACAATGTGGTGAAAATCATAGTGTATTTTTATGTTATCAGTGATGTTGTCGACCTTGTTATAGGTCAGTCACCTTCACAAGAATAATATGCAAAACAGAATATGTCACTCTCAGGTTTATGACCCAATTTACACGTGGGCAAAAACTGATTGTGTGAGAACTATGACTTATACACACAGGAAAAAGTCAACGAACCCAGTTTTCATACAGCTAGGTTTTTACCAACAGGCAAATTGCATCTATGCTTGAACTTGATGAAAATTTGCTATTACATTTCTAAATAATGACAATAACAACCCACTCGGTGACGCGGAATTGACTCTAACTGCAGCTGATAGCTGTCTTCCATTTTCTGAAATACTGCAAATCATAAAATGTTAATGGTGTTTTTTTTAAGTTTTTCAGTGTCTTCCCAACACAAAATCGTGTCACCACAAATATAGTCATTTTGTATGACAACAGAATACCACTTCAGCTGTGAACTTCAAACACCACAAAAAATCCCTTTTTCCTCAGACTGCAAAATTGAATGCATTTAGACTTAGTCTACATTCTACAGTAATGCAAGACAGATACCTTGTACATGTGTATATCTGATGTAAAAAAAAGGCATTTGGTCAATCCTCCATTTGTTTTTTGGTGGTACTCAATTTATCATGAATTTCAAGACAATCGTCATCATCATGGACCGCTCTTTTGGTCTCCAATGGGGTCATTTTTTTCATAAATCTTTCTGATCATTTAATATCTACTTACCACTGACACGTGAAACAGGTATATTTTTGGCGTTGTGGCCTTCAGCCTATTAGCACAGACTTAGCTTCTGAGAACTGAATCTATTGTAAACCCTGGTACTGAGAAAACCAGGCAATATATAGCTGAATGGCTGCCTATCAGGCTTACAAGATTCATGGAAATGTCAGCAAGACAATCTATATTTACACTATGCTGGAGGCAATGTTAACAGTCAGACGAAATACTAGTCTAGAAAGGCGTACGCTACGCTGGGCTGAATACTAAGACCTACTAGTAGGAAAGACATGTTGTGTTTACTTACTTAACTTTCTGGTTTCCGACGTTGACTGACCCTGACAAAAACCCGCTGACATTTATAGGCCATAAGACATTTCAAACCCACAAGACAGAGACAAGTGCATGGCGTGCTGCCATCAAGCCCCAGATGTATTGTGCAAGCACGTCTAACCCTCGGAAGACGGGGAACGACAGACGATAAACCGGACAGTGAGTGTGAGTGTGTCTAAAAGGTGCCTAAGATTCCTAAGAGAGCGGGGTCCTAGAGACAGTGTGAGCCATTGTCCTGAACTACCAACCCTATTTTTTTTAGGACTGAATCAGAAACACATATTTCCCTAGGCCTACAAGATGAACATACCAAGAAGAAAATGTCATCTATGAAATAAATTGTTATGCGTGGAGGAGAAATCGCAAAGCGGTCGTATAAAGCACGTTTGCGTATTTTTTTCATGTGCCCTTTCAGTCAAAAAACAAAACACATACCTGTGCTGGTTCAACCTCTGCATTCTTGCTTGCACTTAAAGTACCACCAGTCCAGAGGATTTTTAGTCAATGTATGTAGCACTATAGTCTTTATGTATACAAATACTTAAAGCAATTACCTAAAGAAAAAACTGACCAATCAGGACACAGAACAAATGCTACAGCATTATATTTGCTGTTCAAACCGAGCACAAGTTCTTACCTTGTAGGTTTAAATGTGTCAACCTTCAAGTATTGTCTGAAAGGGGTTATTAATCAGTTAAATGGCTTTTCCCACCAAAGAATTTCCTTCTTTTTGTAGTATGTCTAAAGTGATTTTAACTTTCCCACAAGAAATCTTACATTATTAAGGAACAAGTACCTATCACAAGCTTTTACTAAGTTTTAGTCTTCATAATCATAGGTAACAGTTTTCTTCTTTCTGTGACATGTCAAAAGCGATTTTCTTTCCCACAAGAAATCTTAGTTCTTACATTATAAAGGAACAAGTTACTACCATAAGCTTTTAGTCTTCATAATCATTGGTAACAGTTTTCTTCTTTCTGTAACATGTCAAAAGTGATTTCAACTTTCCCACAAGAAATCTTACATTGTAAGGGAACGAGGAACCATCATAAGCCTTTAGTCTTCATAATCATAGTTAACATGTCTTTTGTTGCTGTACCAAGGCCACAGAATGCATAAGAAAAAGTTACTGGTAAAATAATACCACCAGTCCTGCATATGCAGGTTAATGCAGGTAAAATTGGAGCTGTGCCGGTATTTCTGATGTCTACCTGCACCTAACCTGCACTGATCCATGTACTAACAGGGTTTATGTACATATATAGGTGTATGACTTTTATTTGCTGCATTATAACTGTTACCATCTACATATATATGTAATATCACAATTCTGTGTCAAAAACAAAAATTTTCACATGAAATTGCAAAATACTGCTTGACGTATATAAATCGATTCGTAAAAACAAATTTCTTTCTATCAACACAAACAACATTTTTTCTGAGCCATGAGCCCAACAGCTTGGCTTTCTACAACACTGTAAGTCACTGTCAAACAAAACATAAACAAACTAGGCTACGTTGTCAAGACCTAATTACCTCTACTGTGTGTTGCCATGGTAGCAGGTAAATAAACAAATCTTCGAATTCAAGGGCACGTCATTAGTTGCTTTTGAACAAGATTTAAGGTGACAAAAGAGCTGTGAGAATTTCCATGTATGGATAGACTTGGTGAGAATGAAAGCATTATAGTAATTAGTATACCAAAAATAAGCTGGGTATGAAATTCATTTCCATTACAATTGTAAACAGATTTGCTTCTTAGTGCATTTTAATTTTGTTTTGTTACAGCTATACACAATTCTACTCAGTGTTGTGACAGGAAACAAGTTGGCTACCTTAACTCATGTTTAAGTCAACATCCAGACTCTTACAATAACATGTACATGTTACCGTAAAATGTGTTACTTTTACAGTGGTTTTACTCCATGGTATGAGCGAAAATGGAGTTTTCAGGGTATTTCAAGTTTGCAATTGACACAATTCTGTATTACTGTAGAACTATACAACACATAATCGCTGTGTTATATTTTTGCAGTAAGAGATTAGTGCAAAATAAATTCACTGCGAAAGTTTCCATATTTACAGTATGTTAAATCGTGTAAGTCAACATCCAGTGTAACAATACCATGTTGGTACCATGCATAGCAAGGCTAAGGCTGAAGAGGACATTCTATAGATTCTGCATAGCCAGAAGCACCATGTAGTGCTGGGCAAACATGCCGGGCAGTATATGATTTGCACAGAGTCTTCTTTCTTTTCACATCAATCAATCTGTGTAAATATGGCAGGATCGCTGCCCCTGAACTCATACTACTATTACTATAAACTAACACATTTCAAAATGTGGGAAAAGCCCATTTAGATAGTCTGTAGGCGGTGATTTTCAGAAGAGGAATAGAAAATGGGAAATAAATTTCTTTTAAGTTTGATGTCAGTCAGACATTCATGTAATACTCAAATTAAGCTGCGTTATTTTCTGTCTAAGGTATTTTTGCCTAATTTGCATAAATTTGCATAGAGGCCCATATAACCACTTTGTCCCACCTGGACCTTACCGCATTTTACCTTAAAAAGATCAGGATACATAAAATACCACGATTTTATCGTACTGGCCGAAGTATGTACTAACAGGATGGGCTTGTTTCAAGTTTTATTCATGTTTCATCTCCTGAACTATAAAACCAGTATAACAGATAGTAGCTTCAGTATCTTGTCACATGAAACAGCTTACATTTATGTTCTATAAATGTATAGTTTAGCCTTAGGATGCTTTTTAGGTTTCAGTCTAAATCTCCTCTATATTTTTAACTCATTCCCAAGTGACAGGCTTGAGGCATTATTTTATGGAAAGACAATCTGGGATTTTTTTGCAGCAGAAGGAATTGTA